AATTTGACTGTGATATCAATCGGTCACCACCATTCGATGTACTGGTCTCCACTCTATAAAATTTCTCTTACCCTAACTCGTAGTAACTCGTTGAATGTCAACTAAGAAATGAATTATATTTTGGATATTAACATAATAAAACTTTGGGTGAAAAAATGTATTTTGAAACATTTTGAGTGGAAAATGTCTTAAGGCAAACATTGGGTGAAGTGAAAACTATTTTTCATTGTGTTTACGTGTTTCGAACTCATTATTTTATCTTAATCCGTTCATAAGATCATTCAAAGTTTTTATATTAATTAATTAGAAAAGATTATCACTGCACGTGTATAAATATTTGACCGAAAACGACAATATATACACGTTGAATGAAATTTCATTCGACTTATTATTCTCCCGAAATGGGGGGAAAAAAAAAGTTCCACATGCTGTATCATGTGAATTGGTTATGGATGAAGTATGTAACATCTAATTTCAATTCACTTAACATTTTTATTTCTTTTGTAATTAACTATAATTAGACCTGCATGCAGTCAAGTCTAATCAATTGAATTGATTGTCGCACTTGTGTATAAACTCGACCCATTGCCGACACAGTTGAATTAACGTTGGGATTGTTGAATCTAAAGTCTAAACCTATTTAATTAGGAAAAAAAAAAAGGAATTCAACGACAGTCTTATAATTAATTTAGAACTGGGATTATAAAAAATTTGCATGCGAACGCAAACTTTGAAAACGTGCAATGTTCGCATTGCATGAAGATTATTGAGAGAATCTTCAACGATTTCACCTGAACAAATCTAGGGTTCATTTTTGAGTTTGGTAAATGTGAGGTTTGTATAGTCAATAGTTTCAGCTCCTGTACAATTTTGATCTCAACATTAATTTAAATTTCTAAAGTTTTGAATTTGGTCGGTCAAAGATTATATTCTCGTATATTTTTTTAATTAATATAAATACAAAAGTCACTAAATATAACATATAAAATATTTTATAATAATAAATCAAAATTACCATAATTTATAATATTAAAATTAATATTTTTACAAAGCACGTGGGTTGGCCTATGGCACAACCCAAGACACGACACGATATATAGCAAGCTGTGTTGTGGGCCTTCAAATTTGGTGGGCCGGCATAGACAACAAGGCACAATTTTTGTGGGCCTTGGCACGACACGACCCACGGCATAATAGGCCTTGAATTTTTAGCACGCCACGACTTACCGCCACCTCTAGCTTCATCCATCAAAACAAAAGTGCGATATATGTCAGGTGCATGTGAATTACTTCACATCCAAGCTTGCCCTCAGAACTTTATAATAGGGTTCTTCACCACACCGGGCACGATAATCTCATTTCAACAAGAACGCCACAATAATAGTTTCTCTATAGCAAATACTCTTATATATCTCAAGCAATAAAATAACAGAACGTAAGAATTATTCTGTGTATCCAAACTACTTTAAAAATCGCTCTTGTCTATTTTTCTGCTTTCTTTATGCTTTATTGCTTTATACCTATTTTTACACACATAAACCCCAATGAATCATTTGGTTCAGCATCATATTTGCTATTTCACGGTTTTGCACACTGTTTCAACCAATGGATGAGCTCACGTTGGATCTTTTGACTGGCGTTTAGCTGTCTTCCACGTGGATTATGAGAAACCAGTGATTTCTCCGAATGTTAATCAGCCAATCAGAAAATATATTAAACATAATTAATAACATATACCCTTTTTCATGTGTGGAAACTGAGAAAACTTTCTATTTTCGTGTGCAATGAGCTCATGAAATCTACTATATTGGAATATTGACTTGTAAAATTCTAATACAAGAATATATATATATATATTTTCAAACCTAAAGTCAATTTCAGTCTTTGATAGAATTAAAAAACATGTGAAACCATGCATGCATATCCACACACATAAAGAGGAAATAAAGTTAAATGTGATAACACCATTAAATTCTTCTTCCCAGATTAAATATTTAATTCATCAAATTTCAGTAAAATTAAGCTTTAATAAACAATTTAATTATTGTTTAAAACTTGATCCAGTGAGAATGGTAATGCGCTTCATAACCTGAATACAGCAAGCTGTAAAAAAAAAAACAGTGGAGGGATGGAGATGAGACAGAGACACCTTTGCATGAAAGTAGTAAGTAGTAATGTGAAATTCATTATCAATATAGTAAGAAATAAATAAAAATAAAAAGGGTTGTTTTAGATGTGTTTCACGTAAAAGGTAAAGTAGTTGGCATAAGCCTGTAAGACATAAGTGTTAGCCATAAAAATTATAAGGCTACTTCCCAACGCAGTCGTTTTTCAATAAAGTAGTTCAATAAGAACTACACGTCGTCGTTTGGTGTAACTGTAATGAATAGTTAAGTGTCAGTCACTGTACTCACTGAACTCAAGTTTCATTCAATAAATTTTTCTAGAAAATTCAGCTCAAACACTCTCAGAACTATCTCTCTCGAATCCTCCTTCAAACCCTAACCTTTTCATGGTATTAGAGCACCATTGACTAATGTCAACAATGGCAGAAGATTTTGAAAGCTCTTGATTCGACAACCTTGAACAAGGTATTCACAATGCGTCCAGTTCATCCATTTCAGCTACCTCAACAATCTCCTCAAGTCTTCAGGTTATCAATCCGAAGCTAACCAGAGACAATTACAAATTCCAGCGCTCTCAAGTGTTGTTTTTCGTAGGAGCCCATGAATTAGAGGATCATCTAACAGGTTTAATCCCTTGCCCATCTCCTCTTATCGATGCAAAATAAATAATTCAAAGAACAAAACTGTTGATCAGATTGATGATTGTTTGATAACTGAAAGATTAAATCCAGCTACTCTTTATGGAAAATAACTGACAAGTTCTTAGTGAGCTGTGTGTCAATTTCGAAGTGTCAGTTTTCTTCAGAAATATGGTTTGCACTTGAGAAAGAGTTTATTACTGACTCGAAGGCTAGAGCTTTACATTTGAAAAATTTGCTTCAAAACACCACCAAGGAACATCTTAGTATTAGTGACTATGTTAGGAAAATGAAAGGAATTGCAGATAATCTTTCTGCTAGTGGTTAGATTATTTCAAAAGATGACCTGTTACAACACATTTTAGATGGATTAGGTCTAGAATATGATGCTGTTGTGGTTAATCTCACATCAAGAATTGAGTCACCAAATGATTATGTGTCGATACAAGAAGCACAATTTTTTGCTTCAGAAATATGAAATTCGTCTAAACAAGTTCAATTGAGTTGAATTTCACAATAGTTCAGCTCATATTGCTTCAATGACTGATGCTAAGGACTTAACAGTGTCAAATACTATCTCACAACCAAATACCAGCACTTATAATGTGTCTCAAGTTGCTGGTCCCTCTCTTGATTCAATTGGTCATTACAAGATGAGCGGTTCCTACTCTATAAATTTTTCTCAGTATAGTCAAGCTAAATTTCCTAACCAATTTGACCAGTTCTCTCAATCACAGCCTCCATTCAATCTGCATTATGGGTATAGTCTTGGAATTAACAGACCTGCATCCTATAATAATTTTGGAAGAGGCCATGGCAGAGGAAATGGTTGAGGACAACTTGTTTGTTAGGTTTGTAATAAAACTTGACACATTGCTGTTCAGTGTTACCATCGGTTTAACTCCAACTACAATGGTGGTTTTTTAATGTCTGGACATTAGAGTCAATATGGAGGTGTTAGTAATCTAAATCAACTTTATGGTGGTTTTCATAGTCTAAGTTATCAAGGCCATGATCAAGGAACAAACAGCTTTCATGTGTCTAGCTATCAAGGCTTTCAAGGATCTACACTGCCTACTACACCTCAGCATTATAGAGGATTAAATCACCCAAGTTCAATTCACAGTTCTGGTTTTGCAACACCACCACCTCAACAGAATGGTTTTTCAACACTACCATCTTAGCAATTCTCTCAAAATATGGTGATTTGAATTAGGTTCATTTTGCTGCACAAACTGTTCCATTTGGCAATCAAGTGAATAATGTTGGTTCACGGGTGAACAACTCAACTGTTACAGCCCAAACACATTCACCTAATTCAAGTTCTGGACCCAATATTACAATCTTGACAGCCTCTTCCTCTACTCCACAAGATCTTATCTGGTACAAGGACTCCGGGGCCACTGACCATGTCACATCTGATCTAACTCAGTTGCATACAAGCCAGGATTATGCTGGTTCAAGTCAACTTCAAGTGGGAAGTGGTGAGTTTCTCCATATAACTCATACTGGTTTTATATTATTGCCTAGTCAATTGAAAACTAAATGCTTACACTTGAAAAATGTTCTTTGTGTCCCTAGAATAACTAAAAAACTTGTTAGTATATCCAAATTTACTAAAGACAATTATGTTGTAGTGGAATTTAATTCTGATTGTTGTGTTGTCAAGGACAAGGTCACCAAAACAACTTTACTACAAGGAGAGCTTAATGCAGACATGTATCAACTAGCTCTTCCTTCCCAATTACCATATCCTTCTTGTTTTTCAAATATGCATGCTTTATCAAGGAATAACTCCTTTGAAGAAAATAAAGAATGAAAGTATGAAAGAACACCAACTCAATTTCTTCTATGATATACTTTTCTATTGAATAAAGAAGATATAAATAAATAGGTTACAATGGTGAGACAATTCCGGAAAGGAATCTCTCTTAAAGGAAAAAAAATAAAAATAAATCAAGAAGATTTGACAATTAGGAATTCAATCTTCTTGTAAAAGGAAAAGAATAATTAAGATATAAAAAACTCTTAACAAACAAGATACACTAGCTAATACATAACAAGGAAAAAACAATCAAATAAACATAATCAACGACTTGACTTTCAACACTATCCCTCAAGCCGATGCATAGACATTGATCATACCATGTTTCTCTACAAAGTCTTCGAAGTTGGCTTGAGCAAGAGCTTTTGTGAGAATATCTGTAGTTTGACCGGTTGTCGAAGTGTAGCTAACCTTAAAAATTCCTTCTTCAATCTTTTCTTTGATAAAATTTTGATCTATCTCCACATGCTTAGTTCGATCATGATGAACTGGATTCTTGGCTATACTGATGGCGGCTTGATTGTCACAATATAATTCCATAGGATGCTCTAAGGGAACCTTTAATTCTGACAATATTCTTTGTAACCAAATCCCTTCACAAATTCCTTGTGCCATGGCTCAGAATTCTACTTCTACACTATTACGGGCTACAACAGATTGCTTCTTGCTTCTCCAAGTCACCAAGTTTCCCCACACATAGGAATAATATCCTGATGTTGATCTGCGATCTATCATTGAACTTGCCTAGTCTACATCTGAAAATATCTCAATATTCCGCTTGATTGTTCTTTGGAAGAAAAGACCCTTACCAGGTGTCATTTTGAGGTACCTCAATATTCTATAGATAGCTGTCATGTGACTCTTAGTAGGGTTGTTCATGAATTGACTTATCACACTTACTGAGAAACCTATGTCTAGCCTTGTATGAGATAAATATATGAGCTTCCCTACAAGGCGCTGATACCTTCCTTTATCAACCGGTGCACTATCATCGTTGTTAACAAGTTTGACAGTTGAATCCATAGGATTTTTGCAAGCTTGCATGCTAGCATTCTTGTTTCATTCAATAAATCTAGAACATATTTACGTTGTGAGATTGCTATACCTTTCTTTGACCTTGCAATCTCTATTTCGAGAAAAAATTTGAGGTTCCTGAGATGCTTGATTTCAAACTACTTTGCAAGGAATTGTTTAATCTTACATAGTTCCTTCTCATGATCACCTGTCATATTGTCCACATATACAATGATAACAGCCAATTTCCTATCAGAGGACTGCTTCACAAATAATGCGTGGTCTGACTGACACTGAGAGTACCCATACCTTTTCACTTCATTAGTGAATCTTTCAAACCAAGCATAAGGAGATTGTTTTAAGCCATACAAGGATTTTCTGAGACGACATACCTTGTTGACATTGAATCTTGATTTTAAGCCTGCAAGAATTTTCATATACACTTCTTCTAAGTCACCATTGAGAAAGACATTCTTTACATCAAGTTGGTGAAGCAACCAATCAAGATTTGCTGCCAAGGATAATAGTACACAAATGGTATGGAGCTTGGCAACGGGAGCAAATGTTTCCTGATAATCAATATCATATGATTGGGTAAATCCTTTGGCGACCAACCTCGCTTTATACATGTTCACATTCCTATCTGCCTTGTACTTTATTGTGAAAATCCATTTACACCCAACCGGTTTCTTCCCTCTCGGGAGTTCCATAATTTCCCAAGTACCATTCTTTTCAAGAGCCTAAACTTCCTCGTCAATTGCAGTTTTCCACTTAGGACACTTGAAAGCTTCTTGAATGTTCTGACGAACCTGTATCTCTATGATGCTAGTAGTAAAGGCATAGAAAAATGGTGATAGTTTATCATATGAAATAAAATTCCCAATGGGATGCTGAGTTCATGATCTAAATCCTTTTCTCCAAGCTATGTGCATATTCAGAATATCATTTTTTAACTCGGAATCAACAACACTATCTAAGTCAGAAATATTGTTACCTGGAATTTCGCTCGAATTTGGACTTGGTTCAACTTCATGGATTTGTTGAGGAAGTGCTCATTCCTCCGTTTCCTTTTGGATGTGCTCCTTATCCCACAAGTTAACAATGAACTTAGTGTTTTTGATAGTAGGAGTTGATTAGGAGGCTTTGGAGAAATGTGATTTTCTGTGGTGATAGGTGACTCAATAAGTGACTCAAAGTCCCAAAATTGATATTCTTGAGTTGAATTCTCCCCCTGAATATCAGTTTTGGTGTAGTAGAGCTCGTTTTCAAAAAAGGTGATGTCCATCGAATGGTAGAATTTCTGTGTGACTGGAGAGTAACATTTATACCCTTTTTTATTTGAGGAATTCCCAAGAAAGATGCACTTGAACAACCTATGATCAAGTTTACTTCTATGTTATTGATGGACATGGACAAAGACAGAGCACCCAAAAAAAGGATTTTAGGAGGGTGTGACAAGGTGTGTTGAATTTTTGAACTCTAGACGACATTCTATTGATAAGGTAAGCTGCTGTAAGAACTGCTTCCCCCTAGAGATATTTTGGTACATTTGTTGCGAACATGAGCGATCTAGCCACCTCTAGTAAATGACTATTTTTCTTTAAGTGGTTCCATTTTGTTGTGGGGTATCTATACATGACCTTAAGTGAACTATTCCTTCTTTTGCTAGAAATTCTCCTAGGGTAGAGTTGAAATAATCTCTAGCATTATCGAACTTTAGGATTTGTATTTTTTATTAGAATTCGGTTTGAATCATATTTTTGAAACTTTTGAATATTTGAACCGATTTGATTTTTCTTTCATGAGAAATACCTAGGTTAATCTAGTGTGATCATTAATGAATGAGACAAACCACCTTTCACCTGTTACATTTTTTATTTTTGACAGACCCTAAATATCACTATGAATCATTGAGAATGGACTACACGCTTTGTAGGGTTGAATGGGAAAATGAGACCGAACATGTTTTGATAATTGACAGATTTCACACTCAAAGGATTTTGGATTTTTGTTAAATAAGAATGGAAATAAATGCTTGAGATACATAAAATTTGGATGCCCTAAGCGATAGTGCCACAACATGATTTCACTATCGTTATTTTGACAAGAAACAGAAAAAAATTTCCACTAATTGCCTTTTGAGGTTGTTCTTGTGGATAGTGGTGCTCCTTAAGGATGTACAATCCAGAGCATTCCTCAGCATTGACAATCATCTTCCCCAAATTCAAATCCTGAAATTCACAATGAGTGGAGGAAAAATTAATTACACACCTCTTTTCCTTACTGAGTTTACTAATTGACAATAGATTACATTCCAAGTTAGAGACAAAGAGAATAGAGTTGAGAGTAAGGTCCTTTGATAGCACCACTGAACCTGTACCGATAACCTTTGATAGCAAATCATCTGCTATTCAGACCTTTAAATTATTTGGACATGGGCTATATGTATCAAACATCGTTACATTTCCCATCATGTGATTAGATGCTCTTGAGTCCACAATCCAAGGTTTTTTACGTTTCTTACCCATAGTAAAGGCGCTCAAAAAATTATCTTTGTGAGTCAAGGTTCCGTAACCAGTGACATGGTTGGAAGATGAGTCGGTTTGTGACTGAGCTGACAGAAGAGGAGACAATAGTTTTTGAAGTGTCTCCATTTGCTTTTTGTTAAACGGACTTCCTTTAGAAGGTGATGGCTCATCAGCAGAGACATGATTTCCTCGGCCTTCTTTCTCCATCTATTGATGTAGAGATAATACCATGTTAAAAATCTAACAACAATACAACCAATTGCTCTGATACCATGAAGAAAATAAAGAATGAAAGTATGAAAGAACACTAACTCAATTTCTTCTGTGATCTACTTTTCTAATATTGAATAAAGAAGATATAAATAAATAGGTTACAATTGTGAGACAATTTCGGAAAGGAATCTCTCTTAAAGGAAAAAAAATAAAAATAAATCAAGAAAATTTAAAAATTAGGAATTTAATCTTCATGTAAAAGAAAAAGAATAATTAAGAAATAAAAAACTCCTAAAATAATAAAAACTCCTAAAAAACAAGATACTCTAGCTAATATATAACAAGGAAACAAATAATCAAATAAACACAATCAACAGCTTGACTTTCAACATCCTTTACTGCTCAACTTCCTCTGAAAATCCAATAAAACATTATGTTTGTAATAAAGATAGTGTAGTCTCAAATGTGGTCACTAAGAACAATTTGTTTTCTGATTTGAACTCTCTCAGTGACGAAGTTGTTGTTCCTAGTGCTTGTGTTGTTTTGTGCTAAAAAATTTCCCACTGTTTGTACAACAAATGTTTTTGCTGATAATACTAATGCCTGTGCCATTGTTAATAATGTCTCTACTGATGTTTCTAATGATAATACTGCTGCATGTGCTATTGTTAATACCAATACTGTTTGCACTGATCTAGCTGCTCATATTGCTTATTCTGTGTATAAGTCTGATTGTTCATTAGCCCATATACCTAACCATACCTTCTCTAAGGTGGCAAATCCTAAATGTAATATAACTTCTATTCATTTAGCTCAAACTCATAACACCAATTCCATGATATGGTATAAGAGACTAGGTCACCCTCACTCTACTGTTTTTCAGAAAATTATACATAGTATGGTCAAATCAGACTCAGCTTCGTTCAAACCTATGTCCACAGTTGGTTTTTGTGATGCTTGTCACCTAGGTAAAATGCATCAGAATAACTTCCCCACATCAACCTCTAGAGCAACCGCACCTCTTGAGTTAGTGCATTGTGACATCTGGGGACCTTCTCCCCTGGCATCTTCTGAGGGATTTAAGTACTATGTCCAATTTCTTGATGATTTTAGTAGATATATTTGGTTATTTCCCTTAAGAACCAAAGCTGAGGATAAATCCATTTTCATCAAGTTTCATCATCCAGTTGAAAGACAATTTAATTGCAAATTAAAATGTCATCAATCTAATCAAATAGGAGAATATAAAAGTCTTATACCTTATCTCACCACTAAGGGTATTCAATTTAGATACTTATGTTCTTATATTTATCAACAAAATGGTCGTAGTAAACAAAAACATAAGCATATAGTTGAAACCGGTTTAACTCTTCTTGCTCATGCATTCATGTAATGATGGCAATGGGCCGGGCCGGGACCGGGTACCCCTTGACCCAGGCCCAAGCCCAAGCCCGACCATATGACATAGGCCCAAGCCTGGCCCGACGAGTTTTTTATAACCGTAGGCCCGACCCAAGCCCACCTTTTTTAATAATCTTTATTTTTAAATATTAATAAATTTCAAATTTTTTTTATATTTTTAATTTTAGAAATAGTTTTTAAATATTAATTAAAGCTATTTCCGCAAATAATTTAAGCAATAAGTGAGCAATTAAAACTCCATAATATTTTATTATACTAACTTTTCAGCTGTGCATAATATATTATGGTGAAATCCACTTTTATAAGTTGAACCAAACCCATCTAACTCATTTAAAGGCAATTTTAACATGTTAAACCTTCAATATGGGATGAAAATTGAGGTTAGGGTTTGGGGAAAATGGATATATATATATATATATGTAGGATAATATTGTAATT